TATCTCACAATAAAACTAGCCACAAATGAAGATGGCTAAATTGTATATTTATAAAATATTACAACAGACTGGCTTCACTTTTATGATGTGTGAATAAATATAAACAAAAAATGGTATGAATGATCTAGCAGAAGATGAAAATCTTAAAACAGTATCATAAAATAGTAGGCATGTATAATAAAATAGTGGGCTATCTATTGTAAAATGGTAGGCATGTATAATAAAATAGTGGGCTATCTATTATAAAATACTAGTAGTAGGCAGTCTATTATAACTTGTTTTATATTGCAAACTACATATTAAGTGATTAGGATAACTTTGTACAACCTTGTACAAACACCCAAAACTCTCGTACTGAAGATGCACTTCTAATAGAGCAAATAGTGATCATTTGACAGAAATAACCTTCAAGTAATTAATAAATTAATTAATTTGGTGAATAATGATCAGCCTTGTATTATTGACGGTTGAATTCACCTAATTATGATAAAAGAGTCATATAAATAAAATGTGTAATTCACAATAAAATAGTAACCACTTAAGTTACAATTAAAATAGATTGTAAAATGTTCTAGATATTTATTATTTCACTCTCGTTTAACAAATTACATTTGAGAAGACATGGTTATAACCATACTATGCTTTTTAGCTCCGCTGTCGACTTAGTCGAGTGGAACTTATCATATGAGTTATCATATGAGTGATTGACCGTTGGCATCTGTCGTCCGTGTCAAATTTTTACTTTTTCGACTTCTTATTGAATACCACAAGTCTGATTGCTTTGATAGTATTTATATAGGTCCTACAGCTAGACCTCTCTCAGATTTGTTCATTTCGTGATGATATTTTCAGTTCTCTAATTTTTATGAATATTTTTGTCATTTTTAGTAAAAAGTGTTATTTTCGACTTCTTGTTATAAACCAAGTCTGATTGCTTTAAAAAATAAACATATTGTTAATTTTCTAATGATGTCTTCAGTGCTTTAATTGAAATGTGCATTGTTACCGGAGCTCAGCCGACAGGCTGCTTGTTTATATAGGTTAAATGTATGAGAGTTTACTGAGGTTTCTATGATTCATATATCTCCAGGTGTGTTCAGAAGCATTTGTTGTAATCATCTTATGTAGCCGGGTGAATTTATAATGGTTGTGAGAAATTACTGTAAAAAATGTTGAAAAAGGGGCATGCAATTTTAGCGAATTGTGGTAAAATGACGTATCGGGGGGCAATAGCGAATTGTTGATTTAGCGAATCTCTCTTGTCATTGTTGATTTCTTTGTTTGGCGGCCATTTTGAATTTATAGAAAAGTCATTAGGAACATCTTGAATTAGCGAATCAGTTCTCTTGCTAAATTCGCGAAAAAGACATTCTCGCGAAAAAGACACATTTTACAGTAGTTGGGAACAATGAAAACTGTGATTTATGAAAATAATGATGTACCATGCATTAATAGAATTTAAAAAAAAATTCAAATTTGGTAAAATAAAATATCGTTGACAATGTAACAAATTTATTTGTTGTGTGTACCACTTCAATAGAAGTCATGGTGTATACTGTTCTTAAATGGTCTGTTGAGCGAGGGTTTGAGAGAGCGGTTTTGATCATACACTCAACTGCACACTCGGTCATATGAATCATTGTGCCCGCTTACCAATATCTCGTCATTTACAGTTGACTGAATGGGGAAAAAAATAAAACTTTCATGTTTTCATTCTTAGTGAAAATAAATAACCATTATAATGCTTGTTGCAATGCATAGTAGATCACCACTTGGTAACTGGATCTATCAGTTTGGGTTACTGATTTATAAAAGAAATAATAACTTTGACTTATAGTGTCTCCTTCCAATTATTATATTAACCTACTGGAAATTGTACAGTGTAGATATACACATTATCTATTTATGTATATTGAAAAACAGCAGTAGAATGCTAATATGTTAAAGCAATGCCGAGCAGTCCTTGACTAGTAGAGGAACATTTTATAATGTAACATTTTCATAACTTACCTTATTCAATGGATATATGAACTCACAAGACTTCATTCATTCTTGTACAATATTACAGAGGACTGTATGGGTTCTAGATATTTGTATCTTGTATTCATTTAGTGCGTTATGACACTATGCAAATGTTTGCCTACCTAATAACCAATGTTATAAAGGATTGAGTTTGGCTACTCAGTAACCAATGGAACTGAATGAGTTTGGCTACTCGGTAACCAATGGAACTGAATGAGTTTGGCTACCTCAGTAAGCATGGCACTGAGT